GGATTATTGTTTTAATAAAGTGGATTCAACCATAAAGTCCAGGTTTAGTCAGTTCCTAACAGCTTAGAAAAGCCTGCTGTGTGTTTACATCAAAAGGGTGGCAGGCTGTGAAGATTTGAGTGCCTCTGTTGTTTTGAAAATAAATCTGTCCACAATGATTATACCTACAGTGGTGAATGGGGGCTTGTTTTAAAGTGCCTTTACTACATGTTCAGAATATGTAAATACTTTAGTGTGCATAGTCTGGGCACCACTGAACTTTGTAAAATTGTGGGCACAGGAATATAGGTACAACCTTACAAATGTTTATTAACAATAGTTGTGAAGTTGCCTTTTCTTGTCAAGCATATAAATTAGACATACCTGATATGGCTCTGTATAAACAAGAGCTATAGGACGTGCATAAGATGGCTTTAGCCATTTTACTACAAACTAAGTATCGTCACAGGCAGCAGCTGATAATGTGAATTGGGTTTAGGTAGAATTGGCATCGGGATAACGATGGGTACTTGTTGCCTAAAGGAGACATTGATACCCTTGAGGTCCATATTTTATTACATTCTGTAAGTTTGGATTCATGCTTTATAAGATAAATCTACAAGTGACACAAGTCCAAGAGGAAAAATATATGTTGTACAGTGGAGTTAAAATAACATTAAATCAAGGGGGTAATTTGTGTGTAATAGTAGGTTGTGCGTCCACAAACAGACACGGCAAGTCAAGACACTCCCCGGCTCCCTGCTCCTCCCTTCTCCTCCCTTCTCCAAGCTAGTGGATGGACAGCTCCTGGAAACTGTGCTGTTACTTATGATCTTGTACTGGACAGGAAGTTCAGGGAAGCCGGGCCGAGAGAGTTGGATCCAACTATTCGGAAATATGATGACTGTAGTGCTTGGGCAAAACTTTAAAGAAATACTTTGCTGGGCAATGCCTCCTTGATCTATATTCATTATCAAAAAACGTTTAAGAGTTTAATACTTTAACGAGGACCTCTTCCACAAAGCTCGTATTCAATAACTTTTTGATGAAGATGTGCTGCTGAGGAACAGTTCTCAGTTGCTTGCGGTAACGCATGTAGTTTGTTAGTACACTTTTATAATGCCAAGTGGCCATTTACCTTCTACTACTGGCTTTTTGCTGATGCTTGTAAAGGTACACATGGCGGTGTGTGCAAGGTTTTTGTTGCTGGAGTGTTGCTTTCAGAAGTACTAATTTATCTCCGTTTCTGTTTTATGGATACTTTTATCTATGTGCTCTTCTTTCTTTTTTTTTCTTTTCTTTCAGGTATTTATATAGCACCAACCATTTACGTATGCTTTACATAGTGCACATTCACATCAGTCCTTGCCTTCAAGGAGTTTACAATCTAAGGTCCGTATGTCACATACATATGAGGGCCAATTTAGACAGGATCCAATTAACCTACCAGCATGTCTTTGAAGTGTGTGGAGGAAACAAGAGTACCTGGAGAAAACCCATGCAGACTCCATGCAGATAGTAATTGTTACAAGTATTCCAATGTAAAAGTTTCCATGATTGCCTTACAATTACATTTGGTGTTGTAGATACAGGATAGAAAAGTAGCAGTACGTGGAGCTAAGTGCATAGTTTGTATTGGTGTCTCTGAAAGCTTTTCAGACATTTTTATTTTGTCTTGTCAGCTCCCTGAAAACCAAAGTTTTGGTCCAATTTTGTAGAATGCAATAACACAATATTAGTGACCTATATGACTCTTGTGTGATTGTCTCAGGAATATGCTATATCGTCACTGCTGTATTGTTCCATCTTGTTGCTTGATGGCTCCATCTCTTTGGGACTGTAGACAATGTACTTAAAAAAGACAACAGAATGCATTTTATTTCTTTGAACTGTGAAACGTGAGGTTTGAAGGCAGTTGTCAGGCAGAATACAAACTTTGAACTTGGAATTTTGAGCCATGTACAACATTATACCAGGACTGAAAAGGAGTATGCAGAAACTCTGTAATGTGAAGAACACGTATTTTAATTGTGTTTTCCCACAGCAAAATATTGTATGAGAACATAAAATGAGCAAGCCCCAGATAACCAGGTGTTTCTGCATTGTTCTCCTTCTATCATTTGTGTTACAATGTATTAGAGGGTATAAGACCAGTGACTGAGGTGGCAAGAGCTTTGTAATAAGCTTTTTTTTGCAGCAGTGGAATGATACTGGTGTTGCTAACCCTGATTTATGAGAGATGCAAATTGTGAGTGTATGGTGGGGTCCTAAAAAGGTTGTGGATAGGAAATACTGTGGAAATGGCCCTTGAATATTTACTAGCTGTTTACACTAGGTAGACTTAGTCTGCTCTCTCTTTTTACAGGCTCTGTAGAGAAAATGTAAGATTTGCTAATACACAGTGAAAGTGGTAGAAAGCCATCACAACTAAAGAAATGAATCCTTTTCATAACATTCATAGACCTTTAAAGTAATCCTATCAGAAATTAGGGAGCCGTTGTTACCTGTGGTGAATATTATGGTCAGCAATTGGATTCAGTACTTTGACTCAATGACTCAGAACAAGTATGCAAATCAGAAGAGTAAGAGAAAAGTCAGATGTCCTGATTTCCATACTCATGCCAGGTCATTGACGCTAAAACCATTGAAGCCAGGTTAGCATGACTGCCAGGCAACTAGTATTTTTAAAACCGAAGATAATCAATGACAGCCTCTATGTTTATCTTAGAACAGGTATTCTTCGGAGTTAGTTGGGAGCGTAGATCTTGAATGTTATGTATTATTTTTGGATAAGAGAGGCCCCGTCAATTGTTTTAGTGCGCTGAGTTCGATAGCCCTTTGGTTTCTATATGTGCCTGGCTCCTCCCTTGCCATTCTCTAATGTGCCTGGCACATTAGAGAATGGCAAGGTGTCCTTGCCATTCTCTAATGTGCTGAGAAAATAAGTTTGTGGAAATCAATCTTTTCTACTGCAGTCTTAATTAAACTAGATGTATTACAGTTGTTGGTGTTAATATATTCAGTCACATTTTGGTGCTTTGCTTAAATAATTGCACTATTAATTAGACTATGATAATTCCTGCATAAATCTTAATGTTCCAGCTAAAGCTTAACTACCTGGAGATGAAAAGAAGATTTGGTGAAATGATCTCCTCTAATTCTGACAAGTGTTAGGGTAGTGAGGGCATATTAGGTGAAGTTTACAAGCACGGCTGGTCAAGTCTGTTTGTAATATCTGCATCAGGTATTATATGAAGACGAGTGAGAGTAAGTAACCCACTTTATAAAATGCTACTTGGAGGGTCTCTAGAAGCACACTCCAAAGACATGCTGGTAGGATAATTGGCTCCTGTCTAACTTGGCCCTCGTATGTATGCATGTATGTGAGATAGGGACTTTAGATTGTAAGCTCCTTGAGGGCAGGGACTGATGTGAAAGTGCAACTATGTACTAAGTGCTGCGTAAAATTGTCGGCGCTATTTTTAAATACCTATAATAAATATCTATCTGATCTCAATGCCCATGATGCAGTGGCGGGCAATCCCCATTCAGGTGGAGACGCACTGCCTTTTTCTTTTAAGAAAATATACCAGCTAATGAATGGCGTAAACCTGGGTAATTTCAAATGGGCATAGGTATCATAGGTATCATGTCAAAACAACCAGTCAGTTGCAGGAAAAGTGAGGATTTGCTTAAAACTTCAGCTGCCTACATCTCTGGAAATAAATATTTTGACAGTTTTTTTAAGGGTGATCTCTGCTTATGTATTTGTATCACATGGTCATAGTAAACTGTCCTTTGTTTTTTTTATAGGCCTACTTAAAACGCTATTCCTGGTTCAACTGGGGATTAGTGTTTCCATGTTAAAATAAATAAATCCTACAATTTGCAGGTTCAGAAGGTGTGCATTCCAAGTGGGATTTTAGGAAATGTATTTATAGAAAAAAAAAGTCACATTCTTTCATGCATCAGCTATTGTTTTCTGTACTTTTTACACTGTCCATGAAATAATTTAAATGCAAGTAAACATTTATATACCAGTTTAGTAGTCATATGATAATGGAGGGTTGTGTGGTCCTCCAAGATGCTGTTGTGCATAATTTCCACAAATGTAAAAAGATCTAACTCTTACCTTGTACGTTGTGTTTCAGCCACATCACTCAGGCACATCCAGTGCTCCACATTTAGAATTGCAAGAAAAGCCAGCACAGAGGACCTCAATTACCAGTGCACCCACCACAGTGCAGTTATAAGGCACTACACACACAGCGTCTGAAATGTGGACAAGACACCTACATAAAATAGGCATCGTTTCAGGGCGATCTGACCCTTTTTTCAAGCAGGAGTCAATGTCATGTGATTCCTGCTTGACAATGGGTGGAATCTGTTGCAAACTTTGAACATTTATGGAGTTGTTTTGTCTTGTCTATGTGGCATTTTTGCACTGCCATATGATGATAAACTATATGACTGTTATGCACATTTGGAAGGTAGGACTGAAACTGAAGTCTGTGCTGGTTCTTCTTGAAATTCTTAATATTGTGCATGATGCATTAAG